TAGAGTTTTGGAAAGAAAAAAAAGGGGGGGGGCATTTAGAAGCAATGCACAAAGTTTATGGAGAACCCTGACACAATGTGGCTCGGGTAGGCATTGTCCTGTGCAGAGAAGGATTGATGGATTAATTCCTGGTTTGGGCACATTTTGGGCTGGATCCTCCATGGGGTGCAGGAGGCAGTGAGCGATAGATTGTTTCTCACATTAATGTTTCTCTGTCTTTCTCTCCCTCTCTCTCCTTCTTTCTAAAAATCAATAAAAATGTATTTTTTAAAAAAACAAAGTGTAATGAAGAGAGAGCCTGAAAACAGAGGGTTGAGTAATGAGGCTTGAGGTTTTTTGCAATATTTAGTTTTAACATGGAGTGAGAATGGAAAGCATGGGAAGAAAGGGAGAAATGTGACAGATCTAGAATCTAAAGGATTAGGCAACTTGGACATGGGGAATAATATAGAGGACTCAAAGTTGATTAGAAAAATTTAACTAGAAGAGTAGTGTCACTAACAAAAATAGAGAAGTCAGGACTTGGACTGGTTTCATGGGAAAATAGACTTGCTTTTTACTGTCCAAGTAGAAAATACTTTTAAGACATCCTGATGTAAAACAAGTAAGAATGAAGGCTAGGAGATCCAAAGAGGGCTTGATACAGATTTGAAATCTCTTGCTGTTAATAATGGAAGCTATGGAAGCTAGAGAATTTATTTTTTAAAAATAAATATTTTTATTGATTTCAGAGAGGAAGGGGGAAGGAGAGATAGAACCATCAATGATGAGAGAGAATCACTGATTTGCCACTTTCTCCCCATCTTCTTCTCCCCCACTGTGGATTGAGCCTGCAATCTGGGCATATGCCCCTACCAGGAATCCAACCCTGATCTCCTGGTCAATGCTCAACCACTGAGCCATATTGGCTGGGCTGGAAAATTTACTAATTCTGCTTTGCTGATGAGTAGTGGTGTTTGATGAACACGTTTTATTATTTTTTTAAATTTATTTTTAAAATACGGAACACTTGCCGAAACCGGTTTGGCTCAGTGGTAGAGCGTCGGTCTGCGGACTGAAAGGTCCCGGGATAGATTCCGGTCTAGGGCATGTACATTGGTTGCAGGCACATCCCCAGTAGGGGGTGTGCAAGAGGCAGCTGGTTGATGTTTCTCTCTCATCGACGTTTCTAGCTCTCTATCTCTCTCCCGCTCTGTAAAATATCAATTATCTATCTATCTATATATCTATCTATCTATATACACACAAACACACAAAGTGGACATACCGAAGGCCAAGAGACATATGAAAAAATGCTTGAAGTCACTAATCATCTGAGAGATGCAAATTAAAAACACAATGAAGCCGAAACCGGTTTGGCTCAGTGGATAGAATGTCAGCCTGCGGACTGAAAGGTCCCAGGTTCGATTCCAGCCAAGGGCATGTACTTTGGTTGCCGGCACGTCCCCAGTGTGGGTGTGTGTGTGTGTGTGTGTGTGTGTGTGTGTGTGCAAGAGGCAGCTGATTGATGATTCTCTCTCATTGATGTTTCTAACTCTATCGGTCTCTCTTCATCTCTGTAGAAAATCAATAAAACATATTTTTTTTAAAAATGGAACACTTCACAAATTTATAGTTCATCCTTGCACAGGGGCCATGCTAATCTTCTCTGTACTGTTCCAATTTTAGTATATGTGCTGCCGAAGCGAGCACTGAACATTTTTTATTGCTGTTGTTGAAAAAAGAAAGCAGAATTGTCTAGACAAGCAACATTTAGGAGAAGAGGAATTTGATTGAGGGTCAAGAGAATGACTAGGAAGAAAGGCAGGAGAAAACTAGGATCATGCAGGTGTTGGTTTCCTAAGTTAGAAAAAGTCAAGAAGGACAAGGTGGTCCACTGAGGGAAATGCCACGGGAGGTTAAGGAAACTGTAAACTGAAAAAACTCTTTGGATTTGGCCGCTAGGCAATCCTTAACACGTGAGCTTCGTGAGGAAAGATATTTTTCTTTGTTAAAAGACTGCCTGTCATTGCCCCGACTGGGTGCCAGTTGGTCGAAGCATCATCCTCTACCCTAAAAAGCTGCAGGTCCAATTCCCAATCACAGCATATACCTGGGTTGCGGGTTTGATCCTGGTTGGGGAGCGTGTGGGAGGCAGCAGATGGATGTTTCTCACATCAATGTTTCTCTCTCTCTCAAAATCAATCATAAAAAAAAATAACATATTTTCAGGTGAGGATTTCAAAAACTTCAGATCATGTCACTTCCCATGTTTAAATTACTTCAATGGCTTCCCACTGAACATAGGATAAAACAAAATAAAACCACAATGCCGGAGATGGCAAACCCTGCACAACTTGGCCTCCAGCTTCAGCTAATCTGTAAGTTCCTTACAGTTGTTGTTACTGATATTTTACTGTGTGCATGATCCTTAAGGAGGTACACCCTACCTGAAGCACATAATACCTGGATGAAAGCCCACCATGACACCAATGGGGCTTCAGCATTCTTCCTGAGAGACAGCGAGTTCATATTTACAATGCTTTTTATTTTTTATTTTTACTATTGGCTTAGAAATGACTAAGCATTATATTCACATAACCCTGCTGTAAAAGATTACAATAATGTTATTATAACCCTATTTTCTGTTGAAAGGTGGAAAAAAGATTGGCTCCAGACTAAACAGGAAGTCAGCAATAAAATTATAGCCACTGGCTAACCCAGGCTTTCTGACTGCATGCATCACATCTTTTATGTGGTCTAAGGTTCAGGCTGACAACTACCAGCAACCTCACTTCCCCTTTGACTCCTATCCTAGGTATGCATGCATTGTATGTCAACATGTGTGAAAGACAGTTGAGGAAAATATTAAATATGGGCATTTATAACTACCTATTTCTTGGTATCTGGGATTGCAGGTTTCCTTTGTACTGCTGGGAAGTCTGTGGGAAGTGGAAGAAGCTGGCAGTGGGTGGGAAGCTGCAGAGAGCAAATGAAGAACCAGCACAGGCTGCCTGATTTGAGGGTGGAGAGAGCCATGGTGAAATCTGGCAGCTACCAAAGGTTATTCATTTGTAATAAATTAGACTGGACAAGGCCCAAAGGAAACTTTCATAAAAGATAAACATTACTTGTCTCCAAATATTTGCAATTTAGCATTATGACCCCCCCATCCCCTTATGTCTTATTTTCTTTTTTCAGTTTGTCATTTTGATAACTTGAGGAGAGGCAACATGGCTCAAGCTGGCTGAAGTACATTCCAGAAAAGTCCATATTGCATGAGAATCAAGGGATGGCCTGACTGGAACACTGGAGCTTCAACTTGTCCCACAAATTAGCCCTTTACTCCTGAAGCTATAAATAAATTGGAAGCCAATGAGTTTTCCTGAATGTTGCTAGAGTGAGCAAACAGTGGGTAGAGATTACGGAGTGTTTGGGTATGAGGGTGCTGTGAGCAGGCACTTTTCTGCCCCTGCTCAGCTCTCAGACTACGACTAGTTCAGGTGCAAATCAGCCAAGTTTTCCATGAAGACCTCGTCCTCACTTCTGTAACAGTTTGGGGGACCTCTTTTCTGACCAGAAAGATCTCCTCCTTTTAAATAACAGTTTCTTCCCTATTTTAAAAGATTCCCATGATACTTTCTCCCATCTCAAACCCAGGCTAGAGGGGGGAAAAATCAAATAAGCTGCAACTATCTCAGATTATAGCCCTCTAAATGCCATTATGCATCAATTACCTTGTTGTCTAACAAACATGCACAAATTAATATCCAGAACATGTATAAATAAGTTTATGTGCCTAATGTTTACACATTCCTTAGTATTAAACCTACGTGGTATATATGGCTATTATTTTTTTAAAGTTATCTCACCATTATCTGAATGTTTTAAAAATTATATTTGTATTGATTTCAGAGAGGAAGGGAGAGGGAGAGGGAGATAGAAACATCAGTGATGAGAGAGAATCATTGATTGACCCAGCAACCCGGGAATGTGCCCTTGACCTGAATCGAACCTAGGGCCGTTCAGTTTGCAGGCTGATGCTCTATCCACTGAGCCACACCAGCTAGGGCTATATGACTATTGTCAGGGATGCATACCTGTATCTTTCTAGTAGGCTCGCATATGTTCCATCACGATTCTTTCTTTTTCTGCTTTGTTTTTGTTTTGGGATATACTTACTACCTTTCATGTAGAGTAGAAAGTGTTCCAGAGTTGGAAGATCCTGGGTTTGAATTTTGTTTCTCTCATTGTTATGTCTTGTATAAAGGGGAACCATCCGAGGAGAAAGAGTAGGTAGGTATAGACTTGGAGAACCAGTGGCCCCATAAAACCACCATAATTCTCACTGACAATGTTAGGTGTTCTGAACTGCTGGAAATACCTTTATTTTATTTTATTTTTTTTGGGGGGGGTTACTTTTTTTCTGAGACATTTCAAAGAGCTTCCCCATCAGCTCCCATCCAGGCCCGTCCAATGACCTCACTGCGCTGTGACTATGTCCTTGGTCTGCACGAGTTCATCCATCTATTTTGGACTCTGTTTTACTAAGCCCTGTTTTACTAAGTAAATTCCTGAGCGGAGAGAAAGCCCAAAAGTCTGACTCTGATATAACTGGCATCATCTTGGGCCAGGAGACTAAACAATCATAGCACAATGCAAACGACTTATCAGGAGCTACGGTGCAGGAGCCCCCCCCCTCCAGCCCCCCCCTTCACTACGTCCCCAAGTGACCGCCGAACAACCTCTTCCCCCCTCCCCCCCTCCCCCGTGGCCCTGGTCCCCGCAGCCCCGCGCATGCGCACGCCGCCGCCGGAGGGGGCGGGCCCGGCTGCCATCTTACCGCCCCTCGCCCCTCACCCGGGCCGGAGTCGGGGCGTCTAGCTCCGGCCGTTCTCCTTCTCCATCGCCAGCCCCCGCTCCAGGCGAATGGACTGACCCGTCATCCGCACCGATTCTCGGCAGCGGCTGGTCCCCGCGTCCACCCCCCGGAACGGAGCGCCCGCCGCTCCGCCGCCGCGATGCCGAGCGTGCCGCTGCCGCCGAAGGAGGGCAACCTCTTCAAGCGCGTCCTGGTGAGAGGCGGGCGGCCCCGCGCCCGGGGGGCCCCGGCGCGGCGCGGCGAGCTCCGGCGGCGGCGCCCGGTCCGCGCTCTGGTCTTTGTTTACTCGGAGCCGCCGGACCTGGCCCCCCGCCTCCGCGGGCCCCCGGGCCGCCTCCCGCCCCGGCCCGCCGGCCCCGCCGCCGCGGACCGGAGGGACCTGGCGGGGCCGCGGCGGCGCCCGGGCACCTCGGCGGAGCCGCGGGGCGGACTCGCGACCTGACCTTCTGCCCTCCCGGGGGGTCTTTAGCCGCCGCCCCTGCGCAGGTTTCACCCCCGGCTTTGTGCTTAGAAAGCGGGCCCCGTGGAAGCCGGGGCGAGCCTGTGGTGGGGCGGGGCTCGGGCACCGACGGTTTCGGGGAAATCGGGGCGCGCCGGGAGGCCCGGCTTTCTGCCGGGGGCCTTTGCCTGTTTGGGGGCACTAACGCCTCTGGGAGGCTGTGCCCGTGAAAGGCTGGCATCAGCTGCCTGTCTAAAGCCCAGCAGCGAACAGGGCTCTTGACGTGCACGGGCTCTGCCGCGGGAAAGCGGTAACAGCTTCGCGGCCGGGCCGGCTTTGCACTTGGGGGGTCACACACTTTGTTTCCGAGCAGAAACCTGGATGGTGGCCCCGGAGGGGGGCCCGCTGGCCGGCGGGGGGTGCTGCTCCCTGCAGGTCCCGGGCCAGCCTCCCGGCGCCTTCCCGGCTCCTGTTCTGCCGAAGCGGACAGGCAGCGAGCGCCTTTGCTTTTCTCACACACGCCGGGCACCGCAGATTTTAAACTAATGTTGCAAAGAGATGGCTGTGTTCTTCTAGTTTGTCTTTTCATCCGAACACGAGCGTTTAGATTTTAATAGCGAATTTGTTACTTAGAGCTTGTGTTATGTGACTATTAGCTATCGCTTACCTTTGCTATAAATACTAAATTTAGAATGTTTTCAGTATTACCAGTGGCAGATCTCCAGTTTCATAGCAGCTGTTCTGTTCTAGCTAATAGAAACTTCACATTAAATCCTTATTTTTTGTTTTTCTCGTAGACATATTTTTCACAGTATGGAATGGGAGAAGCGAACTTTTTTTTTTTTTTTTTTTTTTTTTTCCCTTTCAGGTGGATTTTTTGGTCTAGGGAATCTGAAAATCATCTATGACTTTTTAGTAAGATTTCAGGACATTGGGCATTTTACCTAAAAGATGACAGAACACTTACTTTCTCTATATATGGGTACTGTAGTTCAAATCATGTTATCAGTAGAATAATGAAAAACAACTCCGTGATTTATTATACTCTATTTACAAAAAGTTAAAGCTGCTGCTGAGTTAATTTTATTCCCAAATTAATTGGGAAATGCTAAACATTTCCTTAATCTGGGTATGTAATGTTTATTTATTTATTTATAAATATATTTTATTGACTTTTTACAGAAAGGAAGAGAGAGGGATAGAGAGTTAGAAACATTGATGAGAGAGAAACATTGATCAGCTGTCTATTGCACACCCCCTACTGGGGATTGATCCCGCAACCAAGGTACATGCCTTTGATGGGGACCCTTTAGTCCGCAGGCTGACACCCTATCCACTGAGCCAAACCGGTTTCACCTTGGTTCCTTTAAAAAAAATAAATATTTTTATTGATTTCAGAGAGGAAAGGAGAGGGACAGCGAAGTAGAAACATCAATGATAAGAATCATTGACCAGTTGCCTCCTGCATGCCCCACACTGGGGATGGAGTCCAAAACCTGGGCATGTGCCCCGAACTGGAATTGAACTCCTGGTTCATAGGTCAAGGCTCCACCACTGAACCACAATGGCTGGGCTCTTGGTTCCATTTTTGAAATAGCATAGGCTTTTAATGCAGTTTTAGTATTTCTCTGAGTTGTTATCATATATGTTTTTGCTTTTGGATTTTGAATTTTAAAAAGCTGTAGCAGTGTTGATTGACAATTAAATTCCCAGCTTATTAAATGTATTTTTTTCTTTATCTTCTGTAAAAGTGAAAATGCTCAAGACACTAGAACAGTTTGGTAACAGAAACATACTAAATGTTATAAGTGATATAAATTGACATAAAATCTTTCCATCACGTTTTAAACCTCACTTTAGATCTTCAGTTATGTAAAAGTTGCTCCATATATAACCATTTTATAAAATAAGTTTTGTTCATATTTCTTTACAGAAATGTTACGAACAGAAGCAATATAAAAATGGCCTCAAGTTTTGCAAGATGATTCTTTCGAATCCAAAATTTGCTGAACATGGAGGTATTGTCTTACTTGTGAGAGATTGCTTTGGGGAAATCTAATTCTGAAATCAGACAGATAGGCTTCCTAACAGTGAAAGAAGATTATTTCCCAGATTCCATGGCCTAGTAGCTCTATAATGTATAAATATTAAACATTTTTAGTAATATCAGTCTTATTCTAGGTTACTTCTATTATATTTAAGTCCATGTACATATATGGTTTTTACGATTTAATGAAAAGTTGTTGGTTGATCAATTTGGGAACAGTTGGAGTACTATATACCAATATTTTTATAGAAGTGATTTCATCTGTTACTTTGATTAGAACTTAAGTTTATTCTTTGATTTCCTATGTATAAAATTAGGACAATATTTGCAGTACAGAAGTAGTATGAAGATACAGTTAAATACATTTTATTCTTTGGTAGATGTCATATAACTGCAGGCCTTTATATATAAATTGACACTACTGATTTATCATTAGATTGTTTATCTTGAGTTGTTTTTCTAGCACTGGTATTAATAAGTTGGCATTTGCTTTCTCATCCTTTTTCACTGGTCACCAGTATTTGTTAAGAGGATAGATGAGGTTACATATGCAAATTATGATCCTGTAGCAAAGCACAGCTAGCTGAGGTCGCTGAATATTACTCTTTGGTAAATCTTGAGACTGTCTTATTGGGAAAATAGGCTGACCCGTCTCTGCTTTCTCATGTTGAAAACATTCTTTGAAGAAATGGAAAGAAGTCTTCATTTCATAGAATTTTAGAAATTGAACTTGTTTTCAAGCTTTGTCACTATGGAACCATTAAGTGGAAGCTTTAGGGAAGTTCTTTATGTATAAACAGAAAAGATGTTTGGTTATAGGAGCTTGGACTGTTCTATCACCATGTTTTCTGAAAAACAGAATTCATAGACATTAATTTGAAAAAAACAGTTGTTACCTAATTCCCTTGTGGATTATTTTTTTGGGGGGATTATTCAGAGAGTTATTTCAATCTAAAGCATCTTTTATGTATTAATTACTTTAAACATATTTTTGGGTTGCCACTCCTGTAGTCCAATGTTGTATCCTTGAAATGCAAAGGATATTAATTCGCCTAATTAGAATTAATTAGAATAAACTTGCCAAAAATGCAGTTTATTCCAGTATTAAGGTGATTTTTTTCCTCTTTATTAAGGTAGATTGATTTGATTCTTGATTTGAATTGATCTCAGGTGAAAGGTGAACTGCTGTATAGATTTAACTCAACAGGATTCAGGTGCCTGCTGTGTTACCTTTTCTCAGCAGAATAATCTCAACCCCCTTTCAAGAATCTTCTAAAGAGCAGAAAGCATTTTAGCAACTCAGTCTCCTCTTAAGGAATTTCAGAAAAGGACCTGGGCTAAAATTTAAGCAAATGTTTAAAATGCAGTTTTGGAGAGAAGTTCTTCTAACTATGGGATTAAAAATATGAATAATATAAGCATGGCAGATGTCAAATGTTAAAATAGCCCTAAGATAATTTGAATCTTTTGTGTGTAAATAGAGGTTAAAAATATTTTTCAGAGACTTTGGCTATGAAAGGCTTAACATTGAACTGTTTAGGAAAAAAAGAAGAAGCATATGAATTTGTTCGTAAAGGACTTCGTAATGATGTCAAGAGTCATGTCTGTATCCTTTTGCAGTGGTTGAGTAGTTTTATTTTCATGTATGTCTTTTCAATTCATTAGTGTTTTTTCCTAATTCAAAAATTCAACCCTATGTAGAAGAGAATTTAATGAACTCTATGTACTAATTACTCAGCTTTAATAATTATCAACATTTTTTAGTATTAGTTTATCTGTCCCTTATGCCTCATTTGTTGGAGTATTTTAAAGAGAATCGCTATACACTATGTCTGTATTGTGAGAGTGCTAATAATTATATGTGCTTTGAACCTCATTGTTTTTCCTATACATCCATAAACTAGTGATATTTCACATCATTCCAGATAACTTACAAACCTGTATAGTGTAGTAAACCTTATTATGTTCTTTAAACTTTTGTTAAACTTTACAAGAAAAATTCAGAGGAAATTGGTTTTAAAACATTTTATTTAGTGTCAAGTGTGATATTGGTTCTTCAGCTTGTTTCATTTGCATAGGGACATAGCTATTTTCACTGATACTCATAATTGTATTTTTCTATATCTAGTATCCAGCTTGTAAAAAACAAAAATACTTTGTAAGGTTGGATCATTGAAATTAATGTTCATTTTTGTTTTGCTTATTTATATATTTATTAATAACATTTTCACATATTGTCCTGTTTCTTATGTTTTTACATTTAATTTATTTATCTATAGGCCAGTTTTGAACATCAGTAGTCTTAGTAGTGTTTTCACATTTTTAGCTTAGGGTTCTCTCAAAATGCTAAACACTTATTTCTTTATCTCAGTGCTTACTCTTGAGCAGAGAGAGGGCATGAATGTATGGTAGTGGTTTTGGCTCCAAGATATGTTAAGAATTTAATTTACAATAAATAAAAATTGAATTTTGTGGTTTTTAATATCATTGGTGAATTAACTGATGGTTACATGTTGTTTTAGAATTTATCGATTATAGACTTGTTTTAAAAGATATTTTTTGTATATATTCTGTTTCAATAAATAGTAAGTGAATGTGCCCAGCTTCAATAATTTAACAGTTGTTAATCAAGGCTGATCTCTTTACCTCTTGCTCACTGTCCTCTTCCCACTGATCCCAGGTCATTCTGAAGTAAATCTCAGACATAAATGCCATTTTGTTATAAAGTAAGCTTTATATTACATAGATATGAAGCAGAGTATTTTCTAGTACCTGTGAATGTATTTCCTTAACTTAATAGGTTGGCATGTATATGGACTCTTGCAGCGTTCTGATAAGAAATATGATGAAGCTATAAAGTGTTACCGAAATGCCCTCAAATTAGATAAAGATAATCTGCAAATTTTGAGGGATCTCTCTCTGTTGCAGATTCAAATGAGAGACCTTGAAGGTTACCGAGTAAGTACTTAAGTATACACATTTTAACAGATAGATATAACTTAAAACATGTGAATTCAGAATGAAGTGAGTGTAAGCAAAGATCATGTAGATTTGATTGTTCAATATAGAATAGAAGGGGAAAGTCACTTGGGACTTTCCCCCAGTAATAGTTTTAGAACTGTATACTTGATTATCAACAAAGGATAACTTTATTTAACGCTTTTTAAAACAACAACAACAAAAAGAAACTATACTATCTCCTGTGTACAAATGGTATACTAGATTCTTTGTTGGTTTGACACAAATTTGGTAAACAGAATGTTTATAATTGAAATCTAAATGTAGAGATTAGTTTTCTTTATTATCGGTTAGTAAATATAAAATGATCTGATAAGGGTTGCTATACATCAGTTTTTCTGTAGTCCAGACCTCTTCATACTGGCATCTTCAGTTCTGCTGGACAACTCCATGTGTATTCTAAATTAATTATGTCCAAAACGTAATTCTCTTATTTTCTTATGCGAAGGAGGCCACCAACTCTTAACAGTTCTCCTTAAATAAATTGTCTTTCATTTACTTTTACTTTTGCCCTTCTGCCATAAGTCCTTTTTAAAAAATATATATTTTATTGGTTTTTTACAGAGAGGAAGGGAGAGAGATAGAGAGATAGAAACATCGATGAGAGAGAAACATAGACCAGCTGCCTTCTGCACCCCCCCCACTGGGGATGTGCCTGCTACCAATGTACATGCCCTTGACCGGAATCGAACCTGGGACCTTTCAGTCCTCAGATCGACGCTCTATCACTGAGCCAAACCGGCTTCGGCTATACCTAGATTTTTTACAGAAGTCTCAAGAGTTCTGCTGAGCTTGATAGTAATCATTCTTCAAGATAGTGTGGTTTTTCTTCAGCAGTACTTAACAGCCTGGGTGTGGTGAGAGTTAACATTAGTTATACTTATGAGGCAAGAAATTAAGAATATTGGCAAGAGAGTGATTCCTATGAGGGATAGTGAAATAAATGAAGATAAAAGAGTTGGTCATTAAAGTGAAGGATGCAAGGAACTCGAGGTACTGGTGGTGTCCTCTTAAGAACAAGGGTAGGAATGTCATTGAAAATGTTGGCAGCATAGGCAAAATGGCGAGAGAGAGATAATTTGTTTTTATGATTTCTGTGTGGCAAATAGGACAGTGATTTTCAACCTTTTTCATCTCATGGTACATACAAACTAATGACTAAAATTCTGTGGCACACCAAAAATATATTTTTTGCTTAATCTGACAAAAAAAAGGTATAATTTTGATTGATTTATAAAAATAATAATAGTAATTATCTATCCTTTGTACTCCAAAGTGACTTAAAAAAAAAAAATCAGCCGAAGCCGGTTTGGCTCAGTGGTAGAGTGTCGGTCTGCGGACTGAAAGGTCCCAGGTTCGATTCCGGTTAAGGGCATGTACATTGGTTGCGGGCACATCCCCGGTGGGGGGTGTGCAGGAGGCAGCTGGTCGATGTTTCTCTCTCATCAACGTTTCTAGCTCTCTATCTCTCTCCCTTCCTCTCTGTAAAAAAAAAAAATCAATAAAAAAAAAAAAATCAGGTGCCTATACTTATGTATAAGGATTTCTGGTACCAAGAATTAACCAGTTAGATGCAACATTATGAAGCATGACCAATAAGATACAACTCTGTTATAAAACCTATATATTTATGTTTCAAGACAGGGCATTCAGACCAATGGGCTATTGTGTTGACTTGTCATTTTTTATTTGACAATCTTAGCGATTTTCAATCTTTTTCATTTCATGGCACACATAAGCTAATTACTAAACTTTGGTGGCACATCAAAAAAATATATTTTTTGCCAATCTGACCAAAAAAAATAGATATAATTTTGATTCATTCACACCAGATGGCTGTTGTGTTGGCTGTTTGACAGTCTAAGGGAAAACAGGTCAGTGCACCTGATTCCTGACTAAATAGTCAGGTATTGCATGTTTTAAAAATGCATTTGGCACACCATTTGAAAATCCCTGGTCTAGGATGTGGTTGTGAGAGTGGGTCCCTAAAGAAGGATAAAGGAGATCATTAAAGGAAATCTTCATGTAAGAAGATAGGTTATTAGATGGGTGTTCTGCAGTGTTCCATTTGCCCAGGGAGGATTTGGAAGAGAGAAGAAAACTGACCCAGACTTTATTTTTATTTATTTATTTATTTATTTATTTATAATATATTTTATTGATTTTTTACAAAGAGGAAGGTAGAGAGATAGCTAGAAACATCGATGAGAGAGAAACACCGACCAGCCGCCTCCTGCACACCCCCCACCGGGGATGTTCCCGCAACCAATGTACATGCCCTTGACCGGAATCGAACCTGAGACCCTTCAGTCCGCAGGCCGATGCTCTACCACTGAGCCAAACCGGTTTTGGCCTGACCCAGACTTTAATGAAGCGTTGGAGTGACAGAAGCAATAAAGAAAATATGTAATGAGAGTGATAATAGCATCCTATTCCTATGTAATAAAAGGCTAATATGCAAATCGAGCTAACAGCAGAATGACTGGTTGCTATGACACTCACTGACCACCAGAAGGCAGACACTCAATGCAGGAGCTGCCTTCTGGTGGTCAGTGTGCTCCCACAGGGGGAGAGCTGCTCAGTCGGAAGCCAAGCTCATGGCTGGCCAGCGCAGGAGTGGGTGGGAGCCTCTCCTGCTTCCGCTTCAGGCAGGTGGTAAGGAGTGAGGGGTTCTGGACAGCTAGAGCGCGGGCCTAAGCCAGCAGGTGGACATCCCCTGAGGAGTCCTGGACTGCGAGAGGGCTCAGGATGGGCTGAGGGACCCCCTCCTCCTACTCCCCCATCAGACCTTTAGTAATATATATGCCTAAAAGGAACCAGACACTTAACACATGAAGATAGAGGAGTGATAGTTATTTCCTCAAAGATAATCTTTTTACAAAAGAAGATCTGATCTTGTTACTCCTTTTGGCTTTTCCAACAACAGAGGAAGGGAAGCTAAACATTACATTTTCAAAATTCCATTGGAGCTGGTGTATTTTATAAGACTTGTTCCTCCAAGCAGTTGAACTTGTCTAAAACTTGGAGGCACAAATGAGCAATGAAGAAGTGAGGTCTGTGTAGGGAGGTTGTATTTTCTGCTAATGATGATATCTTGATTTTTCTGCCATAGTGGAATTTCTGGTGTTTTCTTCCTAATGTAATAGATACTGACCTGTCTTAGAGTAGCAGCAATGGTGTTTCTGCTTGAAAAGATGTTTGAGAGTTCCATCCTATCTCTGGGCCTACTATACCAGGTATACTGGTTAATAATGTGGATTTTTTTCAATAGATGGAGTTACACATATATTGATATACTAGAGGCCAGGTTCATGAAATTTGTGCACGGGGGTGGGGGGGCAGTGCCCCTCAGCCCAGCCTGCACCCTCTCCAATCTTGGACCCTTGAGAGATGTCCGACCACCCGTTTAGGTCTAACCCCTGGCTCCCAACCACTTGCTTGCCTCTGCCTGATTGCCCCTAACTGCTTCTGCCTGCCAGCTTGATAACCCCCTAACCACTCCCCTGCCAGCCTAATCGACACCTAAATGCTCCCCAGCCAGCCTGATTGCCCCTAACTGCCCTTCCATGCCAGTCTGGTTGCCCCTAACTGCCCTCCCCTGTAGGCCTGGTCACCCCCAACTGCCCTCCCTTGCTGGCCTGATAATCCCAAATGCCCTCCCCTGCAGGCCTGGGTCCCCCCCCCCCCCCAACTGTCCTCCCCTGCAGCTCTGGTCCCCCTACAACTGCCCTCCCCTGCTGGCCTGGTCACCCCTAACTGCCCTCCCTGATATCCTTATTGCCCACAACTGACCTCTGTAAACCTGGTCTCCCCCAACTGTCCTTCTTTGCCAGCCCGGTCACCCCTAACTGTCCTCCCTGCTGGCCTGATAGCCCACAACTGCCCTCCCCTGCAGTCCTGGGTCCCCCCCAACTGCCCTCACCTGCAAGCCTGGCATGCCCCCCCCCCCCAACTATCCTCCCCTGGTCCCCCCACAACTGCTCTCCTCTGTAGGCCTGGTCCTCCATAACTGCCCTCCTTTGCTGGCCTGGTCTCTCCCAACTGTCCTTCCCTGCCAGCCTGGTTACCCACAACTGCCCTCCCCTGCAGGCCATCTGTGTCCACATGGGGGCAGCCATCTTGTGTCATGGTGTGACGGTCAATTTGCATATTACTCTTTTATTAGGTAGGATATGTGATTTTATATGTTGTTTTTTTGTATCAACAACAAGCTTCAAAACTTCATATGTCACATTTTCTGAAGGTGTTAACATCATAGATATTTTTACGCTTAAAAATGTTGAATTTCATGCCAATAAAAGAGCATTGGCAGGAAGTTTTAACTCATTATTTTGAAGAAAAGTGCTTCTGAAAATTATCAAATACTTCAGGAAGCTTATGGTGAACAAGCTCTATCTCAAGTTATCTGTGAACTCTGGTTTAAACACAGAAAAGTGACTATTTTGATGTGAAAGACAAAGAATGTCCAGGTCAATTTGAACCATGCTTTGATTGTAAAACAACTAGAATGGGCCAGAAGACATGGCAAAATAATTTTGCTCCATGATAACACACCATCACTCACTTCAAAACCAGTTAGACACGTTAAAAGATTTTGCCTGGGAAGTATTAACCCACTGGATATATTCACCAGACCTTGCTCCTTCAGATTACCATTTGTTCCGATAGATGGCACATGCACTTTCTGAGCAGCACTTCAAAATGTACAAAGAAGTAGAAAATTGGATCTCTGAATGTTTGCCTCAGAATAAGAATAGTTCTATTGGGACAGTATCCACAAATTACCTGAAAGATGGGGAAATGTGTAGCTAGCGATGGACATTATTTTGAATAAAACACTTGATGTTTCTCTTGAAATTACCGTGTGTTTTTTTTCTTTATTATTATTACAAAATCTATCATTAACCGGTACACCTGGTAATGTAAATCCATTGTGATTTCATTTACATAATAATTTTGTAAACAGCAAAATTTAGTTCAGTATAAAACTATCTCAGTCTCTCAATTACCAAAAGAAATCCTATTATATGAAGGTAATTTTATAAGTCAGCCCAAAAGCATGAGCCCCAGGGTCGGCTTTTCAGTGACAGCCTTACCATGAGCATTATGGAGTATTTTACAACTTAAATAATTAGATAAGGCACACAGAAAGTGTTTTATTGTGGAACTTATTCGTTAATTGAATACATTAAAAAAGAATTAAAGGTATTTAATTGTTTCCTGAAAACTGATGAACAGAAATACTTTACAGAAAGTTTAAAAAGAATGTTTTATTTATTTATTTAAAGGAGACAAGGTATCAGCTTCTTCAGTTGCGGCCAACACAGCGTGCTTCCTGGATTGGATATGCTATTGCATACCATTTGCTGAAAGATTATGACATGGCACTAAAACTATTGGAAGAATTTAGACAAACTCAGCAAGTAAGTTCATTTTAACATTTTTTCCTACATTCATTTATAAAATAGTTAACTTCTGGATTGTCCCAACCTCCATATGTGAGTTACAGTTTTGTGGCCTATGGAAAAATGGGAAAACGGACAAGTTAAAACAGAATTCATTGGTGCAACCACTATGGAAAACAGTATATAGGTCCCTCAAAAAATTAAAAATGGAATTGCCTTATGACCTAGCAATTCCACTTCTGGAAATGTAATGGAAGAAACCTGATGCACTAATTCAAAAGGATATATGCACCCCTATGTTCATAGCAGCATTACTTAAATAGCCAAGATTTGGAAGCAGCCCAGGTGCCCATCAATAGATGAGTGGATGAAAAAGCTGTGTTAGCTGAAACCGGTTTGGCTCAGTGGTAGAGCATCGGTCTGCGGACTGAAAGGTCCCAGGTTTGATTCCGGCCAAGGGCATGTACATTGGTTGCGGGCACATCCCCGGTAGAGGGTGTGCAAGAGGCAGCTGGTTGATGTTTCTCTCTCATCGATGTTTCTAGCTCTCTATCTCTCTCCCTTCCTCTCTGTAAGAAAATCAATAAAATATATTAAAAAAAAAAAAGAAAGAAAAAGCTGTGTTATATTTACACAATGGAATACTACTCAGTTATAAAAAAGAAGGAAATCTTACCTTTTGCCACAGCATGGATGGACCTAGAGGGTACAATAAACCCTCAATTTTGTTACCTCGATTTAATGGACTTCGGATTTATTGGACAAAATTTCTGGGCCATATGTCTTATGTGAAAATTAACACCCTGTTAAATTTAAAATTTTATTTATGTATTTATTTATTTTGTTAATTCTCTCACCTGCGGATATTTTTTTCCATTGATTTTTAGAGAGAGTGGAAGGGGAGAGGAGAGAGAGAAGCATCGATATGAGAACAACACATCAGTTGGTTGCTTCCACACATGCCCCCAACTGGTCCAGGGATTAAGCCTACACCTGAAGTTAAACCCTTAACCTGGAATGGAACACAGGACCCTTTAATCTAAGGACTAATGCTCTAACCACAGAGCAAAACTGGCCAGGGCTTAAAATGCTTTTAACCAAGATTTACTTATAAGTAAGTTAACAGGTTATAGTTTGGTTACTAATTCACTGTTATTTTAGCAAATAGGATATATGTTGGAAAAAACACTGTAATAATTTCGCTGACATAAATAAATATATCTACAAGTATAGTCTACATAATTAAATCCAAGAGTCACCCCTCATAAACAATGTTCAGCAAATAATTAAGACATGATCAGACTGCATTACTCAAGGTAATTGATTTGGTTGTCAAATGGGGAGACTTTCTGTAGCAGGTTTTTTTTAAGCTCTTTTTACACACACACACACACACACACACACACACACACACACACGTGTGTGTATATATTTCAGAGAGGGGGAGAGAGGTAAAAACATTAATGATGAGATAGAATCATTGATTGGCTGCCTCCTGCATGCCCCCTACTGGGACTGGAGACCGCAGCCTGCGTATATGCTCTTAATCGGAATCGAACCCAGGACCCTTCAGTCTGCAGGTTGACGCACTATTCACTGAGCCAAACTGGCTCTGTAGTAGTTTTAACACATTCTTATAGGCCAGTGTTCTAATGTGTGTGGTAAGCCATGCCTCAGCCATGTACATTTGTGTCCTCTTGGTAACTGATGAATGCATTCATTTATTAAACATATTCAGTATAAATTAAAAGTTACAATAATGCATGTAGAAAACTTTTCTGTGAAATTAAAATTTCATACATACTTAATTTTAATTACACATATATGTCTATGCAAGTAAAAATAGGTAAACTAATTTGTCTAGTAATTTTAAAAAAATACATTTTATTGATTTTTACACAGAGAGGAATTGAGAGGGGTAGAGAGTTAGAAACGTCGATGAGAGAGTACGTCAACCAGCTGCCTCTTACATACTCCCCACTGGGGATGTGCCTGCAACCAAGGTACGTGCCCTTGACTGGAATCGAACCCTGGACCTTTCAGTCTGCAGGCCGACGCTCTATCCACTGAGCCAAACAGGTTTCGACAATTTGTCTAATTTTTAATGTACACATTCAGAAAAATGTATGTTTATATAATGGACTTTTGGTTTTAATGGACACCCTCTCGCCTGAATTAATCTATTATATTGAGGTTTTATTATATTATGCTAAGTGAAATAAGCCATTCAGAGGAAGACAAATAACATATGGTTTACTTATGTGGAATCTAATGAACAAAATAAACAATAGAAACAGATATAGAGAACTGACTGACAGCTGTCAGAAGATAGGGGGATTGGGTTGGATGAAAGTGAAGGGATTAAGCAGTACAAATTGGTAGTTGCAGAATACAGAGATGCAGATTGCAGCATGGAGGATGTGGTCAATAATGTCGTGATAACTGGGTATGGTGGGTGCTTGGGGCAGCAGGGAGGAACACTCTAGAGTATATGGTTTTCTGGCCACTTTGCTATACATCTGAAACTGGTCTGGAAGAGTATTGAATGTAAACTGTAGTTGGAAAAAAAACCCCAGAATTCTTTAGTTTTTTAAAATTTCTTTTTGTTATATTTATTTATTTTCCAGCTTATACAAACTGGATATAGAAGCATAAACATAGCACATTTCTACCATCTTTAACACAAATACAAACTATATGTCCAATTATTGTATTAAAATTACAAATGCTTAACTGACAATCTATACTATTATAATAAAAAGGTAATATGCAAATTGGTCATGATGCCCTAACCCAGCAGCCAAACAGCAGCCTGCATGGAGCAATCAGGCTAGCAGGGCTGGGGGGCAGGGGGCAGTGAGGGAGGCCAGCGGGGAGGAGGGTTATTGGGGTGACCAGGCCAGCAGGGTGGGCAGTTAGGAGCGACTAGGCCAGCAGGCAGAGGTGTTTAGGGTGATCAGGCTGGCGGGGAGGGGCAGGGGAGGGCAGTTGGGGTCGACCAGGCAGGTGAGGGGTTGGGGGAGCTGGGGGTGACCAGGCCAGCAGAAGGGACAGTTAAGAGCAACCATGCTGGAAGGGAGGGCTGTTATGGGTGATCAGGCTGGAAGGCAGAGGCTGATAGGGTTGATCAGACTGGCAGGGGATGCAGTTAGGGGCGATCAGACAGGCAGGCAGGTGAGCAGTAAGGAGTCTGCGGTCGGGGATTGCGGTCCTGGGAATCAGGCCTAAACTGGCAGTCAGACATCCCCTGAGGGGTTCTGGATTGGAGAGGGTATAGGCTGGGCTGAGGGGACCCTCCCTCGGGCACAAATTTCGTGCACTGGGTCTCTAATATATAAGCAAGTAGACAAATGCCATGAGACAGAAGAGAATCCTTCCTCTATAATAAAAACCTAATATGCTAAGTGTTGGGTCGGCTGATTGGCTGTTCAACCGATCAAAGTGTAATATGCTAATGATATGCTAAGGTTGCTCAACTTCTTGCTATGTTGTGCACTGACCACCAGGTAGCAGACAGTTGACCAGTTGACTACTTGCTGTGACATGCACTGATCTTCAAGTGGCAGACATTCTGACCTGTAGGTTAGCTTGCTGCTGGATTCTGGCTGATTGGGATTAAGTGAGACTGGCCAGACATGCCCTGGAGTTTTTCCGTGGTCCCTCCCCAGCTGACCAACCTCTGCATCCCTCCCTGGCCCTGATCTTGCACCGGTGGGGTCCCTTGTCTGGCCTGTCTGCTTTTGCAATCTGGGCTGAGGGACCCTTTCCCCTGCCCCAAGGGCATGGATTTCCTTCACTGGGCTTCTAGTTATTAAATAAAGCACTGACATTGTTTGATACAGTAAAAAGAAACACTGCATTTCAGCTCTTTTTAAAATTTGAAATTATTTAATCTAATGATCTACATGATCAACTGAATTTATTGGAGGGAAAAAAATCCAAGACCAGCAGTTCCTCACATTTGAGTCTTACTCAGATTGGCAGCTTTCACTTTTCTGGAGTCTGTGCAAAAAGAGCACAAAAATAGAGGGGAGGGGTTATTTCAGTCATTATAGGGTAGATAGCAGCTGTGAGCAGGTGGTTGCTACACTTAGTCCTTCTCTATCCACCCCATGTCCTTTAAGCTTCTTCTAGGTTAGTCTTGGGTGACTAATCCCCGGGCAAAGGCTGGTGTATCTCACCAGATTTGGGGATCTTAGGGAGGCTGTCTTGAAAGAACAGTACTAACAGCTGCTATTAGCTCCAACATCTCCGGCTGTTTTCAATGCAATGGTATCGTTATAAACTTTTCTCTTTAAAAAAATCAACAAACAAACAGAACACACACACACACACACACACACACACACACACACACACACACAAAATCCCTAAAACTTAATGAACAACAACAACAAAAAACAAACAAACAAAGTGGGATGGGGTTCAGAATTTTTTTGTATTTATTGATTGATTTTAGAAAGAGAGGAAGAGAGAGAGGGGGGTGCATCAATTTGTTCCACTTATTTATGCATTCACTAGGTGCATGAAATTCATGTATGGTTAGGTTCCCTACTATCAGAACTGATCTGTGGGGCGACCAGTGGGGCAATCTGGCACCCGCCTTGACTGACCTGGTGCCTGCAGGCTGGGGGCAGCTCCTGCGTTGAGCTTCTGTCCCTTTGTGGTCAGTGCTCGGCATAGCGACCAGTCATCCCACCCATTGTTCTGCCTTGGGTTGATTTGCATATTAGGCTTTTATTATATAGGATTGGTGGATTTTTGTATGTGTTCTGACCAGGGATCGAATCTGCAATCTTGTCATATTGGAATGATGCTCTAACCCCATGGTTGGCAAATTGCGGCTCTTTGCCCCTTGAGTTTGGCTCTTCCATAAAATACCACGGCCTGGGCGAGTCTATTTTGAAGAAGTGGCATTTGAAGAAGTTTAAGTTTAAAAATTTGGCTCTCAAAAGAAATTTCAATCGTTGTACTGTTGATATTTGGCTCTGTTGACTAATGAGTTTGCTGACCACTGCTCTAACCAACTGAGCTAATTGTCCAGAATTTTTAATGCAAAATAAGTAATATAAAAATATTTGTACATTTTAATTCCAACAATATTCAAATGATAAAGGAAAAACTACAAAAAAATGAAAGTTTTGTGACTGAGAATTGTTTCTCTAATATATATTGCTTTATACTTGATGTAAACATAAATAAATACATTTTAATATGTAAAATAGAAAAGAAAAATATACACAAGAAATTAAACAGGTGTTAACATTTTTTATATCCAGATTTTATTTTTTAAAGGAATGAAATTAGAGAAATAGCTAAAGTTCTCCCAAGTGCCTCCCTAGAAGTAGCCACTATTCTGAAATTGGTATGTCATTCCAGTGCATTTACATTATGTGTAAGTTCATAAAAGTTAGTATTATTTTGTGTATTTAGAAATTTATGAGTGATATGCAGTTTTTTTTCATTCAACTTTTCTTGATGTCTATATTAATACATGTAGGGCTAGTTTAACCATTTTTAACTGCTGTTTGGAGTTTCATTATATGAATAAGCCATAGTTTATCCATTCTACTTTGCCTCTATTGAAAAACAGTATGTAATGAATATTCTTGTCTGCTGTTTCATTAGCCACATTTGTGAATTTCTCTTCAGTGTACACCTAAAATTGGAATTTAGAGTTGTAGCTGTGTGTTTTCAGTTTTACTAAGTATTGTGATCAAAGAGGAAGGAAGAAGGATAGAGAGTTACAAACATTGATGAGAGAGAAAAACCAATCAGCTGCCTCCTGCACACCCCCTACTGGGGATGTGCCTGCAACCAAGGTACATGCCCTTGACCGGAATCGAACCTGGGACCTTTAGTCTGCAGGTCGATGCTCTATCCACTGAGCCAAACCAGCTAGGGCTTATTATGTTCTTATTAGCCATTAATATTTCTTTTCTTAAAAAATATATTTTATTGATTTTTTTACAGAGAGGAAGGGAGAGAGATACAGAGCTAGAAACGTCAATGAGAGAGAAACATCGACCTGCTGCCTCTTGCATACCCCCTGCCGGGGATGTGCCCGCAACCAATGTACATGCCCTTGACCAGAATCGAACCTGGGACCCTTCAGTCCGCAGATCGATGTTCTACAACTGAGCCAAACCGGTTTCGGCTAGCCATTAATATTTCTTCTTTGATGAAATATCTATTCAGATTTTGTGCCCTTTTTTTAAAAAAAAAATATATTTTATTGTTTTTTTACAGAGAGGAAGGGAGAGAGATAGAGAGCTAGAAACGTCGATGAGAGAGAAACATCTACCAGCTGCCTCCTGCACACTTCCCACTGGGGATGTGCCCTTGACCGGAATCGAACCCGGGATCTTTCAGTCCATAGACTGATGCTCTACCATTGAGCCAAACCGGTTCTGGCATTGCGCCCATTTTTTAATTAGGTTATTTGTCTTAGAACTGAATTGTAAGAGTTCTTTATATATTCTTAATACAAGTTCCTTATCACATAATATTATTTGTAAATATTTTTCCCAACCTGTATCTTGTATTTTCATGTTATTAGTGGTGTCTTCTGAAGAAAAATTTTATAATTTTGGTGAAGTCTAATTAATTTTTTTCTTTTATACATAGGGTCACAAAGAATTTCTCCTATTATAAGATTTCTTCTATAGTTTTAGTGCTCACATTTAGGTGTGTAATCCATTTTAATTTTTGTGTATGGTATGAATTATAATCTAAGGTCTTTTCTTGCTTGCTTACTTTAATTGTCCCACTATTATTTGTGAGAAGACTACTCTTCCTTTATTGAATTGCCTTGGCACCTTTGTAGAACATCAGTTGACCAGAATATCGATATACTAACTTATTTTTGGACTTTTATTCTGTTCCACTGATCTGATGGGTATCCTTGTGTCGGTGCCACAATGCATTGATGATTGTAGCTTTGTAGTATGTTTGAGATGTGAAACACATGTTCTCCTACTTTGTTCTTTTTCAAATTATTTTGGCCATGTAGGGTTCTTTTTATTTCCATTTGAATTTTAGGATTAGCTTATACATTTTTTGCAAAAGGCTTGCTGTGAGTTTGGTAGGGATTGCATTGAATTTATAGAACAATTTGGAATTGCCATCAAAATATTGAGTATTGTGGGCAATTACTGTGGAGTGTACTATCTTACTATTTATTTAGGTCTGTCTGTAATTTCTCAGCATATTTTGTAGTCTTCAATATATAGATCTTATTTCTTTTGTAAAAAAATTATTTCAGAGAGGAAGGGAGAGTGAGAGAGAGAGAGAGAGAAACCTCAAGGATGAGAGAGAATCATTAATCAACTGCCTCCTGCACGCCCCTTTGGGGCATGAAGCATGAAACCCTGGCATGTGCCATGACCAAACCATGGCACATGCCAGGGTTTCAAACCATGACCTCTGGTTCATAGGTCGATGTTCAACCACTGAGTCCTACCCATAGGCATCTAGATCTTGTTTCTTAAATTTATTCCTAAATATCTTGTTCTTTTTGATGCTATTGTGAGTGAAATTATTTTAATTAATTTTCAGATTGTTGCTACAATATAGAGATATAATTGATTCTATATATTAATTTTGTTTAACTCCTTGATGAGTTCTCTTAGGTTTTTTAATGTAGATTCATTTTAACCATTTTTATTATTTTTTGGGTGTATAGGACCTGTTCACTTTGCTCTATACCAGTGTTCCATCCCTTTATTTTAAAGGATGTGTTAATCTTTGCTATTAATTACTCTTCTATTTATAATTGTTCATGTATTGCTTTTTAAATCCGTGTGAATTCCTTTCCCGAGAAAGCAGTGAAATTAAAGACCTGAAATTGCTTTATGTAATTATATAAATATGATAATTTGGTCTTTTTTTTTTTTTTTTTTTTTTTTTAGGTTCCTCTCAACAAAATTGACTTTGAATACAGTGAACTGATATTATACCAGAATCAGGTGATGCGAGAAGCAGATCTATTTCAGGAATCTTTAGAACATATAGAAACATATGAGAAACAAATATGTGATAAACTTGCGGTGGAAGAAATTAAAGGTTAGTTGACCTGCCTTTTCTTTTTAATTAAAGAAAAGAGCTAAAACTGTATATTTTATTCTGTCTTAACACTTAAATAAGATTTATCATGTATTAGGCAATATTCTAAACATTTATTATGATGTAGTTGTTATATTCACGTTAGAGTTGGGGGACTGAGGAACAGAGAGTTAAGTGATTTACCTAAAGTCACACAGCCAGGTTAGCTGGTTGTAGTGCTGTATATAAGGCCAAGAAGTTTGACTCCAGATTTAATTTTTTAAAAAAAAATTTCTTTATTGATTAAGGTATCATATATTTGTCCTCAACCCCCATTCCAATTCCCCACCCCTCCCCACTCATGCCCCCACCACCCTATTGTCCTTGACAATATGTATGCACACAAGTCCTTTGATTGATCTCTCCCTTTTATCCCCAACCTCCCTTTGAGGTCCAACAATCTGACCCAGGGTTCCTTATCTCTGGGTCTGTTCTTGTTCATCAGTCTATATTGTTCACCATTTCCCCTAGATGAGTGAGATCATGTCCAACTGGAAATATACTTATAAGAATTGAAAATGAGACAAGCAATAATGGTTATGCTGAAAGGCATATGAATCAGTCTGTAGTGAATTTCTTTCTGGGCCACTAGTTCTTTTGAGACCCAATTTCAGTGTCAAACAATTCCTTATGTGTATATGTCAGCAATGATATTTCAGTTCTGGATGGTGGACAAATACCCTGTTTCCCCGAAAATAAGACAGTGTCTTGTATTAATTTTTGCTTCCAAAGATACGCTAGGTCTTATTTTCAGGAAGATGTCTTATTTTTCCATGAAGAAGAATACGGTACACATTTATTGTTAAATGAAAATAAAGGAAATTTATTACCTGTATACGGTAAGGTAGTGCGGTAGTTGTCAACACAAACCAGACAAACTGTGAATCCTACAGTATCAAGAATTACTCATTTATTCAGTGACAATCATGTCATCATCTTCTGGAACATCATCATAACAATCCAATTCCTGAATTTCCTGGTGAATTTCTTGTGACTCCATTTCTTTCAGAATCAGTGGACCAAATCTCTCATGTTTAGCAATAGCACTGTCTTTAAATGAGTACTTCTTGTCAAGGTAGCCTGCTCGCAGTGCATTTCCAATGCAACTGTCAGTGATTTTCTTCCATGAATTCTTCACCCAAGTCACAACTTCTTGCAGTTTAGGTTTCACAAAGTTTGTGAGACAGAGCCTAGGGGGGCCTTATTTTTGGGGGATGCTTTATATTTCACTCAGAAGGAAACCTGTTAGTAGGTCTTATTTTCGGAGGATGTCTTATTTTTGGGGAAACACGGTAGTAGTAATGCAGGTCCAACCCTCTCTGGTTTGGTCCTGGGCAACCTGCTGACTGATATTATGGCAAGGCGACATCAGCGTCTTCCATCTCCGGACTGCTTCTGTTCTGTCTTCATGGTTGGAGTAGTCCTGTCTTTTCTGTTATAGGAATCCACATGGTCTCAGAGTTGTTTTTGAAAATATACAAACAAATTCTCAACCAAAAGTTAATAAGGAATATTTTCTATAAATTTGACTTGGGATCCTTTTTCATTTTTTTGCCCAAATGATTTTCCTCTGGCTTGTTTTGACACCATGTGTGTTTTTCATGGGTGCAGATTTAATTTTCTTCCAGTCAGTCGACTTTCCTGTAGTTCTGGGTAATGTTCATTATATATTTAATTGTATTTTACTGAAATTGTTGTGTGCGGCTGCGGCTAGGTGTTTACCTGGGCAGCCATCTTGGATTCAGTCTCAGATTTAATTTTCTTAAGCGGAACATTATACTACCTTTATATTTTACCCCTCCATATCTGTATATCTATATCTGTATCTATTTATGTATAGTAAAATATAATGAGAATAATAATTGATACTGGGATTATCTTCTAGTAATAACCTTTACCTTATAGTAGTAGCATATAATAAATTGTTTGGACTTGAAGAATAGTATAAACAGGGTAAAAATTAGAGGTTAATTCTGGAGGAATGGGGCATGTTTATAGTTTTAAGTAGCAAATGTTTATATATATTCACTTTGTGCCAAGCATTATGCTAAACCATTTAAGTTAATTATTTCCTTTGATTATCATAGAAGTGGATTAAGGTAGTTGGTATTTTAGAGGTAAGGAAATAGACATTGGAAGTTTGTAACTTGTTCAGAGCTAGAAATTGGTAAAATTAGTAATTAAATTACATCTAGTTAGTTTTACTATACCCTCTTGGTTTTGACAAATGTATAATAACATGCATCTTGAATAATATATAACATAAATAAATAGCAGAATAATCCGATATTATAAAGAGGTAATGTGCAAATTGACTGTCATACCATCACAAGATGGTGGCATCTGGGACTGGAGCGGGACTGGCTGCTCCACATGTCTACTGCCAGAGTCCCATCAGCCCTGCGGGGTGGGTGGGAGGGTGGCAAGCACATTGAGCATCCGGGCTTGCCCCCAGGCAGGGCCAGCCCAAGGTGCAGGCAAGCCTTGAATGTTGGCTGCCCAGCCACCCAGGGCTGGCCTAAGGCTCAGTAACCAGGGCCAGCTGAGGCTTGCACTGCCAGCAGTTGCAACAGCAGAGGTGATGGGGTTGTCGCCTTCCCCTGATCACCGGGTAGCCTTCCGCCCCTGAGGGCTCCCAGACTGTGAGAGGGGGCAGGCGGGGTTGAGGGAACCCCCTTCAGTGCATGCATTTTTATGCAGTGGGCCTCTAATTGTATATAATAACCACTGTTATATGTTGCCTTCTCTAAGATGATGAAAGCTGAAATAGTATGACTTGAAGACATTTCAGAGGATTATTTGTTTGAAATAGATTATTTGAGGAATGGGAAATTTTAGGGATGGGAAGTTGAGATATATTCTTTTTGAGAATCTCCTGTTTATCTGAGATTAGGTGTGCTTTCTATTATGTTTGAGAAGTTTAGATCTTAATTTCCCATGCTCACTTTCAACTTGTGTGGCTTTTTGAAAGCCACATATAAATTGAACCTTGTAGGTGTCCCACATAACATGGTTTGTGTGGTTTCTTGCTGTGAAGTGGGGTTTAGTAGTATTGTTTTACGAGTTAATTCAAATTTTGTGACCTGGAAAGGAAATGAAGAGGATCAAATGGAGAATTGCCTAACATATGAACTTATCAGGAAAAATACATTTAAATCATGAGGTAGGAAGGTAGGGATATTTCATTAAAATTATTTAACAATCTTTAATAATAAAAGCGTAATAATAAAAAGGCATAATATGCTAATTAGACCAGACATCCTTCCGGATGACCTTCTAGATGAAGCCAAGGCTGCAAGGGAATCCTGGGTTCAGGGTGTCTGCTGGCGGCTGGAGGGAATCCTGGGTTCCGCGTGCCAGAGGGAAGTTGGTACCGGCCACTGTGGGGAAGAAAGGCCTATTCTTGCATGAATTTGGTGCATCAGGCCTCTAGTATATATAAAAGCCTAAACGACTGGTCGACTGAATGAGTTGCTATGACACACACTGACCACCAGGGGGCAGATGCTCAATGCAGGAGCTGCCTATGATGGTCATTGTGCTCCTACGGCTATCCTGTGGCCCCTCCCCCTGCCGGCCAACTTCCTGTGGCCCCAATTAGTCCCAATTGCAGGCCAGGTGAAGGGACCCTATCCATGCATGAATTAGTGCACTGGGCCTCTAGTGTTAGTATAGTAGAATGTACAAATAAAGGTCCATTTCTGAAGGCAAGCTATAAATTAATCTATGTTTAGTTATATAAACTGCAATATGCCCATACATATTGGAAGGGAGGCACATACAGTTCTGTTCTCTATAAATATCTACTATACTAATAATGTTTAGTGATATCTCTGGGATCAGAAAGGAATTTAATGTTTAAGTTAAATGATTGTGATTTTAAACTTAATTTTAGGGGAAATGCTATTGAAATTGGGAAGATTAAAAGAAGCCAGTGAAGTATTCAAAAACTTGATTGATCGGAATGCAGAAAATTGGTGTTATTATGAAGGCCTGGAAAAAGCTCTGCAACTTAGTATGTACTGATTTTTCTTTTCTACCTTCTTTTAACTATTGTTTGAAGTATAATAACATTTAAAATTGTGATAATATTTGAAGACATTTATTTCTTGCCCTATAATTCATTTTTTCATGTAGGAAAATTATTGAAGTGAAAATAAAATATTTATACTTAAGTGAGAAAAGTGTATAGATAATGATTATGATACCTATTTAGATTAGAGAGATGGGAAAAACAATGAGTGTTCTCTTTCAGGGAAGTGTCATAATCTAATCTAATAAGGAGGGGATATGCTAATTGACCATCACACCCTTACAGAGATGGTGGTGCCCACAGCCAATAAGGAGGGAATATGCTAATTGACTGTCATGCTTTCTAAGATGGCGGCACTCACAGCCACAAGATGGCGGCGTCCACTCCCCTCAGCCCTGCTGACGGGCCTGTCTGAGGAGTCCCCCAGTCCCAGGGCCAGCCCGAGGCTCAGGCAAGCCTTAGATGGTGGCTGCCGAGCCACCCAGGGCCACCTGAGGCTCAGGTAACCAGGACCGGCTGAGGTTTGTGCTGTCATCAGTGGCAGCAGCAGATGTTTGAGGGGGGTGTTGCCCATCCCTGTGGGCTCCCAGACTGTTAGAGGGGGCAGGCCAGGCTGACGGACTTCCCTACCCCTGCATGAATTTTCATGCACCAGCCTCTGATTATTTAATTTAAAAAAAAATATTTTTTATTGATTTTATACAGAGAGGAATTGAGAGGGATAGAGAGTTAGAAACGTCGATGAGAGAGAAACATCGACCAGCTGCCTCCTGCACACCCCCCACTGGGGATGTGCCCACAACTAAGGTACGTGCCCTTGACTGGAATCGAACCCGGAACCTTTCAGTCCGACACTATCCACTGAGCCAAACCAGTTTCGGCTGATTATTTAATATTTTTAAAGAATTGGATGTCTATTATATTCAACTTCTAAAGAATTGGGCTAAATAAACTTTCCTGGGAGTATATGGTATATACATTGGCATAAAAATTGTTCTGTGAATTTAAAACTAGGTTAATTTGTGTGGAGTAAAATGTTATAAATCTTTTTTTTTTAAGTTTATTTTTATTTTATTTTATTTTATTTTTATTAAATTATTATCTGTGTACATATTTTAACATTGCCCTCCCAACACATCTTTGAAATTATATAACCTTGACCCTTTTTAGAAATCTAGGGTCATTGTTCAAATTTTCCCTAACATTTTCATAATTAAATGTTAGCAATTAACATTTCTAAAATCCTGTTATTTATGGCTAAATATATGGCTGAAATAATTATGAAATATGGCTTAGGGATGTTGAAAGCAGAATTTTAAATTTACTAAGTAAATAGGCAGCTACCCATATTCATTTTAGTAGTACTAGAGGCCGGATGCACAAAAATTCATGCTCTGTTGGGGAGGTCCCTCAGCTTGGCCTGCCCCCTCTCAGTCCGTGAGGCCTCAGGGGATGTTCTACTGACAGCTTAGGGAGCAGGCCTAAGCCGAAGTTTGGCCTTCCTCTGGGGGGAAGTCGCAGCCCCCATCACCCCGCCACTGCTCCTGCCTCTGGCCTCCCTCTGTGGGAGGCAACAGGGCCGATCTGGGGAAGGTGCCGCCCCCATCACCCCACTGCTGCTGCCACTGCTGGCTGCTGTGACTGCACCTCTTGGCCCTCGCACTGCTGCGGCTTTGTCTGGAAGATGTTCAGTCTAATTAGCATATTACCTTTTTTGTTTAATATACATATATATTTTTATTGATTTTTACACAGAGAGGAATTGAGAGGGATAGAGAGTTAGAAACGTCGATGACAGAGAAACATCGACCAGCTGCCTCTTGCATGTTCCCCACTGGGGATGTGCCCGCAACCAAGGTACATGCCCTTGACTGGAATTGAACCTGGGACCCTTCAGTCCGCAGGCCAACACTCTATCCACTGAGCCAAACCGGTTTTGGCGCATATTACCTTTTTATTGGTATAGATTGTTAAGTCCTAATCCTTGTTATAAATTAATTTGGGTTTTTTGCTTGTATTTAAAATTTAAAATTTAATGTCACAATTACTAAAGTATTTTTAAATGTTTGTTAGAAAATGATGGAAATTTTAATATTGGTTAGATCAATCTAGTGTTTTTTGTTGTTGTTTTTTAAAATAGGACAGAAGTCATGCCTGGAAGTTGGAAATGTGAGATAACTATGATTTTCCTTTAAACTACCAGTTACTGACATCCCATCTAATAAAAGAGCAATATGCAAATTGACTGCACATCCTCTACACCCACAAGCCATGTCCACTAGCCAATCAGGAGCGAGTTAACCAAACCAATGTGACCGCAGCCACAGAGAGAGCAGGAGGCTTTTGTTTCCCTGGCAATGGAGGAAGCCAAGCTTTCCACCTGCATTGGCCTCTGCTTAAGGCTACAAAGTTTCAATTATAGGATATAAATAAATCCCAACAAAAATGGCTGGGGCCACCAAGCAAGCAGGAGGTTTGGCTCAGTTCAAGGCTACAAAGTTTCAATTATAGAAGATAAATAAATCCCAGATACTAGGGCCTCCACTTGGGTCGCCAGGGGGCATGGCCAGCCTGAAAACCACCACAGGTCCCTTGCCCAGGCCTCCCCACACTCCAAGGGAACCCCAACCCTGACCCAGGACACCCTTCAGGGCAAACCTTTGCACCCACCCTTGCACCCGACCTCTATCCTATATAATAAAAAAAATATGCAAATTGACTGTCACTCCAACACACAAGATGGCTCCCCCATATGATCAAAGATGACTGACCCCATGTGTGGACAAGATGGCGAGCAGGGTAGGGCTGTTGGAAGGGACCAGGTCTGAAAGGGAGGGCAGTTGTGGGCAATCATGTCAGCAGGGGAAGGTAGTTGGCAGGGATCAGGCCTGCAAGAGAGGGCAGTTGGGGGTGACCAATCCCACAGGAGAGCGCAGTTAGTGGTAAACAGAGTGGCAGAGGAAGGAAGTTGGGGGCAACCAGGCCTGTAGGAAAAGGCAGTTTTGGGGGACCCAGGCCTGCAGGGTAGGGCAGCTAGGAGTGACTAGTCCTGCAGGGGAGGGCAATTAGGGGCAAAAAGACTGATAGGTGAGCTTAGGTATCAATCATGCTGGCAGGGGAGTGGTTAGGGGTGATCAGGCTGGCAGGCAGAAGTGTCAATCAGAAAGGCAGGCAGGCGAGAAGTTGGGAGCCAGCCGAAACCGGTTTGGCTCAGTGGATAGAGCGTCAGCCTGGGGACTGAAGGGTCCCGGGTTCGATTCCGGTCAAGGGCATGTACCTTGGTTGTGGGCCCATCCCCAGTACGGGGTGTGCAAGAGGCAGTTGATCGATGACTCTCTCATCGATATTTCTAACTTGCTATTTCTCTCCCTCTCTGTACAAAATCAATAAAATATATTTTTAAAAAAGAAGTTGGGAGCCAGCAGTCCTGGATTGTGAGAGGGATGTCCAACTGCCTGGTAGGATGGGGCCTAAATGGGCAGTAGGACATCCCTCGAGGGATCCCAGATTGGAGAGGGTGCAGGCTGGGTTAACGGACACACATCCCCTGTGCACAAATTTTGTGCACCGGGCCTCTAGTATAGCTATTAATACAGATTATTTACATGTTATAGTAAAATGAATATAATGTATTCTGTATGTCAGAATGCATACTTAATGTCTTCATTATAAAACTAATTGCATTACTTTATCTTTTTAGGTTCCTTAGGACCTTTTCTCCCCCATGCTAAGTTCTGGAGCTCCAACTTGTGACTTGAAATAGGGCATTGAAATGGTTTGGTTTTGTCTTAATGATATTCTTTTAACTATTTTTACAACACTTGTTATATCTGGGATAGTGAAAAAAAGTTTTTATATATATATATATTTTATTGATTTGTTTACGGAGAGGAAGGGAGAGAGGTAGTCAGAAACATTGATAAGAGAGAAACATTATCGATCAGCTGCCTGCTGCATGCCCCCCACTGAAGATGTGCCCACAACCAACGTCTGTGCCCTTAACCAGAATCGAACCCGGGACCCCTCAGTCCGCAGGTTGATGCTCTATCCACTGAGCCAAACCGGTTTCGGATCAGAACTGCTTTTTAAAAATACAAATAAATAAACAAAAGCCCGCGATAGCCTTCATGTGAATTTTAGTGGAGGTTGCTTGATATTTCATGAAGTCTCCAATCATTAACAGAATCTAAAAATTATTTTTCACATATCTCAGTTCCAAAAATCCAGCCACATTGGAGCTCCAAAACATTATTGGGGGAAGGAAGCATCTTAAACAAAAGCAAACAAATACATTGTTTATAATCATGATTGTGAACACTACATTTATTATGAAATACTTGATTATTAGGACTAAGAGTTATTCTTAAAATAATTGTATTTCTTTTTTCTTTTTTTTTAAATAAACCTTTATTCATATTATTACAAAAATTCCTCATTTTTCCCCTCTCCATCAAGTTTCTGTCCCACCCTCTGCCCTTTCCCCAACCTCCATTGTCCTCATCCATAGGTGCACAGTTTATGTTCAGTCTCTTCCCGCACCCCCCACTCCTCTTTTCCCTGAAAATCATCAGTCCACTCCCCTTCCATATCTCTGATTCTATTATATTCAATAGTTAATATTGTTCATCAGGTTTTTTAATTCCCTTGGTTTTTAGATTCACTTGTTGATAGTTACCGGTATGTATTTGTTGTTCATAATTTTTATTTTTATCTTCTTCTTTCTAAAGAACCCCCTTCAGCAATTCATATAATTCTGGTTTGGCAGTGATGAATTCCTTTAGCTTTTTTTTTTTTATTAGTGAAGCTCTTTATCTGGCCTTTGATTCTGAGTGATAGCTTTGCTGGGTAGATTATTTTTGGCTGTAGATTCTTGCTATTCATCCATCTTGAATATTTCTTGCCATTCCTGTCTGGCCTGCATGGTTTCTGTTGAGAAATCAGCTGACATTCTTATGGGTGCTCCTTTATAGGTAACTACCTGT